CTTAAGATTACCACTTATCCTTTAGCCTACAGTGCACCAGAATGAAACTATAAACTAGGCTCCTATCTGGAGATGTACTTAGCTTGGGCTAGGAATGAATAATTACTTTTCAATTCACCACACCTGCTCCTCTAAGCTTAGTGATCCAGAGCTGAGGGGCATTGACCAGGGTAATGAACTGATGTTTGAAGATCTTTTGCTTCTGTGCAGGTAATTAAGAAGTAGTGAGAACCAATTCTAAAATGTTAATGCTAGAAATGCATTTTTTGAAGCAAAAAGACATCCAAAATTGTATATGTAATCAGATTTTAATCATAGATTACGATTACAATTCATCACAAGTACAATTATGATTACTAGGCTTTACAAGTTTCTGATTACGATTACAATTCATTACAAGTACGATTATGATTACTAGGCCTTACAAGTTTCTGATTACGATTACAATTCATTACAAGTACGATTATGATTACTAGGCCTTACAAGTTTCTGATTACGATTACAATTACTTTGACAGTGTAATTGATTAGTAATTGATTATGATTAACCCATGTCTGAATTGAAGAACAAGTCAAAACTGATCATACAAAGGAGCAAAACTCATAAGGAAAGCAATAAATTAAAATCTAATAGCAAATATGAGAGAAAATTATACACATTTTTTAAAGATAGCATGTGTTAGGAGGGGCCTGGCACATGAGTTTCAGTTTATGCAAATAATTTATTGAAGCAAGAAGAATAGATACTATAAGTTTTCATTGTATCTCAGGATTATCTAATGTAAAAGTTTGTAATTCCTCGGAAACTTAGAAAATATTATATACTGATGAAAAGAAATTCTTAAATGGGCAATTAGGAGAAAAGAAAAGTCACATGATACATGAAAGTGAAAATTTAGATTTTATTCAAATATTTCCTTCTTAAATTAAGAAATTAAAACTTATACACAATTAAAATTGTGAATTATAAGCTACATTTTCATGCCAAGTTTATTGAATTTCATTGACAATACAGTAGCTTAATTAAATTAAATTTGAATGTAACTCTGTAAAAAGGTTGTAACATTCACACTTTGACCAGCCTGTATCTAAAGGGTTAACAACAACTAAATTACATTGTGACTTTCTATATTCTTATTTAAAACAACTCAGATTACATTCAAAGTCAGATGTATGTTATTTACCATAGGCTGATTTAGTTTGTAGACCAAGGTATGTTGAATATTATGAAAAACATGCCAATCATAATTAGAAAAGACATAATATTATCTACAAAAGTATTCAGGATAACTTTTATTTTAATATGGGAAAACATGTTCTGATTTTTTACATAGTGGTCATGGTTTACATTTAGATATAAATCAGTTATAGAAATTGTTATACACTTTTATACTAAAATTGTGGAAAGTTTAAAGACTGATAAGGCCAGATGATATTTCCGTAAGGGTTTTGGATTGGACATGAGAACTACTTGATGCTATGTTTTGTATGTCCTGATTAGTGAGCAGGTATCAGAAGATTGGAAATTAGCTAATGTCACTCCTCTTTTCAAGGGAGTTGATAAAAATTGTTCCAGCAATTATAGGCCCATTAATCTTTACATCAGTTGTGGAAAAAGTTTTGGAAAGCCTGTTTATTAGATAGTCAATATGGTTTCACTAAGGGAAAATCTTGCATTACAAATCTTTTTACACTCTTTGAAAAGGTTACTGCTTATGTAGATTTGGTATATCTGGATTATCAAAAAGCATTTGACAAGATGCCACATAAAAAGCTTGTAAAAATTTATCTCTTTAGGTGTGGGGGATATGTTACCAAATTGGATAGAGTGGCTGGATGGAAGAAAGTAGAGGGTTGTTACAAATGAAGTTCAGTCAAACTGGATTAGTGTCACAAGTGGGGTACCTCAAGGCTCAGTCTTAGGACCTTTGTTTTTTTATTTACATCAATAACATAGATGAAGGAATGGCAATAAATTACTTAAACTTGCAGATGATATTAAGGTGTTGGGTGTTGCTAGCTGTGAAGAGGATGCTGCTGATTTACAAAAGGATTTAGATCATTTAGTGAATTGAGCAAATAAATGGCAGATGGGTTTTAATTATAATAAATGCATGTGTGCATTAGATGGAAATAACCTTAACAGTGTCATGAAAGGAAGAGATCTTAGTGTAATAGTTAATCTGTCTCTTAAGCCATCCACTGCTAGTGGTAGAGCAAATAGGATTTTAGGTTGTATCTACAGAA